AAATGAATAGATTTTTAGAAGTTCTGTTCCTGTATTTATCTTTTACATGAAGTTTTTTCAGGACACAAATAACCGCATTAATATTTTGGAAAGTTAGTTTTATTGCACATTAAAGACAAGCTGGTGGGTAGTGGGGATTAAGAGAAACAAATACCTGAAACGTAGAGTTGACAGGATGGGACGGTACTCCCTCTTTGCCCACAACCTCTAAGTCACTGTGTTGGGGTACAAGACTTTTTGAGAGTCACTGGTGTAGAACGCTAGTGCTCAGAAGCAGAGGTGGGAGGCCGAGGGCAGAGTGGGCCTCTCAGCAGCCACCAGATCAATACAAGTCTTCAGGCTTCACAGCATCTTCCTCCCTGACACTTTTCTCAAAGCTATGCTGCAGCTTATGTCTAGGCAGGAAGGAAAAACCAAAATGTCACCACTGTGAGCCCAATGGAACCCCACAGGGAAACAAAAAGAACCTGCCTCCTAATTAGACTGCAGCCTCAGAAGGAGGCCCAGCTCCTCACACAGACAGCAGCTGAGGGGTGTGAGGTAGAGAAGCCCGGCCCTGAGGCTGTGTAACCCCAGGCTGTCACTGAGTTGCCCACTCCACAGCCTCCAACACCTTCCCTCTAAGGACCCAGGGCACTTAGAGCAACCTGTGTCTTGGAATGAAGCCACCGTCCCCAAAGTGGGTTCATGATAGATTAATCCAATTCACCATTCTTAAATGGACTACTTGCAACACCACTGAAGGGCTAGCAGGAGGGAGGCAAGGGAAGGACTGACTGCAGATAATTTTTATGGAAAGTCTTGCAAAGATCCAGGTTTCCATAATAGATAGTATCCACTGAAATGAGCATTAGATTGTTTTCACTGGGGGCAACTAACTGTTCCAATTGAAACTATTATTATTTTATAACCAAAGTATATTTTTATACTGTGACTTGCACCATTAAGTGAGAAACAACAGCGTGAGCAATTCCTCGTGCCAACTCAAAATACCTCTGCGTGCAAACACTTCAGCATTTAGACCACAGCATCCCGAAGAAAGAAATTGTAGGAGGCCTCAGCACATTCCCTAGATAGTTCTGTCATCGATTCAAAAAGCACCCCCAACGCCCCGCACCCCCCAGCGTCCTACAGAGCAAATGCTCTTACCTTTCTGCCAACACACACAACTTGGCTGTCCTTCTCTTCCATTGCCTTATTCTCTCAAATCCAACTCCTGTGCTCCAGGCTCTAAAGTGAAACTATCTTGGCTAAAGTAAAGTTGCTTAGGCAGTAACAATCCCCTCCACCCCACCTCCTTGCTTTTTTTTTTTTTTTTTTTTTTTGGACATCAAGGCCAAGAGAAGCAAAGGGACTACTTTACATTTGCATAGAGCTTTGTGATTTGCAAGCCACCCACACATCGATGATCTCATCCAGCCTCCTAACAACCCAATGAGGTAAGCCTACTCCCCCCACTCTCAAATAAGGTAGGGCTACCTCCTAGGACTGTTCTGGCCGTGGCGCACAGTAAGCACACGAGTGCTAACTACTAGCCATTAGACACAGCAAATATTATTTAACTCATTTTATTAGTGAGAAGCTGAGACTCAGAGGTTGGACAGCTGATTCCAGGCCTCTAGGAATCTGAAGCAAGCTGGGAAGACAGAAGGCCTAGTGCAGGAGTCTTTCCACCACATCAGTACAGACCCTAACTGTTTAAAACCTGACAACTACACATTTCCACGGCGGCTTAGCCACGCTGATAAGACGGGAGCCCGAAGTCCTGATTCTGTTCCCAGTTCTCTGCTAGCCACGTGCTCTGAGCTTTAGTTCTCTGGACCTTTGTGTTGGCTTCTCCATAATGAAGGCAGACTCACTTTTTGTAAAAAAAAAAAAACAACAAACAATGGAATGTCAAGCTTCCAGATGAAAGGCTCTGTTACAAGTACAAAGTATCATTTAATTACACTGCTGCTCCAGTTAGCTGCTTCCCAGCTCCTAACTCCCACTGGGTGGATTCTGAAACCGCATAGGAGATTATGTCAAGAGGGGAGAACAGGAGAAACATTCTCTCCCTGAACTTTCTTAAATGGAAGAGAGGAACAAAATGAAAGGCCCATTTTCCAAGGAGGGGGCTGGGGCAGTGATCTTTCCATTAAGGGGACCTGCATAAGAATCTATAGATTATTTAACGCCGGGGGTGGCTGTGGAATGAAATAAAGGAATCTTTGTGCAATGCCAGCCACAGTTCCCTCACTCGCTCCCCACCGTCAGGCATTTAACACAACTCTTTAATCATCAGGCTCTAATGCACCCCATCTGTGCACGGGTTGTAGCCAATGAAACTGCAGCCTGTGCTCACTTTGGCCTGGACTTGTGAAGGAGCCTTCCTGCCCCAAAAGGGGCAGAAAGGGGGACATGAGGCCAACAGTCTTCTTTGCTCATCACTTGTCTTCTCCCAAGGCTCAAGAGCCATCCAACTGTTTATCTGACCATTTATTGAGCTCTTGCTATGGGTCAGATTCTGACCCAGAGATACAAAGCTAATAGGACATGGCCCCAGGAGGAAAAGGATGTGTAAGAGCTCCTGTGAGAGAGGAAGGAGGTAAAGAAAAACGGACGCTTTTGGCTGAAGCACAGAGGCCCGAAACACCCCTATCTTCATATTCAGGGAAATGTTGCTTAGTTCCAAGTGGTTGGAACATAAATCAAGGAAGCAGCAGGGACCCTAACTCAAAAGCTAGGCTCTGCCAGATCATCCAAGGCCCTGTGTACCAAGCCAAAGAGGTAAGACATCAACTCTGAAGGCCATTGTCATCCCCACATACTCCCTTCTGACCATTTCACAAGGCCCAGCTCAAATACCACCTCTTCCAGAAATTTTTCTTGAACACGCTCAAAGTAATTGCTCTCTCTTCTTTGAGAACTCAAGACCTGAGTTCTTAGACAACTTGTATAAGTCTCAGCTTCTCCATCCATATAATAAATGACTAACATCACCTACCTTAAAGGCTTCTTATGAGGGTTAAGTGAGATAATATTTATAAAGTGTGAAGTAGCAGTTTTTAGCACGCAGAAGGTGCTTAAATACAGTTTACGGTTACCCCCACTTCTTACGATACACAGTACTTCTTTTTTTCTTCTTTTAATAAATTTAGTTATTTATTTTTAGCTGCACTGGGTCTTCGTTGCTGCGCGCGGGCTTTCTCTCTAGTTGCGGCGAGCGGGGGCTACTCTTCATTGCAGTGCACGGGCTTCTCATTGTGGTGGCTTCTCTTGTTGTGGAGCACGGACTCTAGATGCGTGGGCTTCAGTAGTTGTGGCATGTGGGCTCAGTAGTTGTGGCTCGTGGGCTCTAGAGTGCAGGCTCAGTATCTGTGGCGCAAGGGCTTCATTGCTCCATGGCATGTGGGATCTTCCCGGACCAGGGCTCGAACCCATGTCCCCTGCATTGGCAGGCAGATTCTTAACCACTGCACCACCAGGGAAGTCCCCACAGTACTTCTGGATATTAAAAAGATGTCTTGGCTTCTACTCCTCTGGAGATTTCCAGAAGTAGGACAACTCATATTTTCCCTCCAAGCTTCCAAAGTGAAGAGGACTGACTCCCCCTCTCCTCTCACTGACATAGCCTCCCCACATCCAAACTTCCAGGCTCCAGGGGTTCCCCAAAGGTCCAAGAGGAATCTGAGACAAGATGAGTTAGCTGACAGAGAAGGAAGCTATAGGCTGGCTGGAACACAAATAGCATAGAGGAGAGTAATTAGCAGAAACCTAGAGAAGGGAAAATGGGCCAAAGACCAGGACTCTGAGGGCTGCAGGGTTCAAGCCTTTTGGTAACCCTAGACCCTAGAAGAGGCCTAGAAGGAGGAGTTCTTCCATCTGCAGTCCTGATTTGAGAATCCCCACTAACAGACGTGGTTGTTCAAGCAGCTTCTCCACTTCCTGTCAGATCAGCCAGCTGGACAGGGCTGTTCTGTAACTGCTGATCCTTCCTCCGGCTCTGCCCGGGGCTACCGAGCCAGAGGCAGGGAAAGTGATGCCACCTTTTCTAGCAGTTCTTGTAAACAGATCAAGAACACTAAATTTTTTTTTTTTAAACTTTGTCTGAGTCCGCATAAATTTTTTTTTTTTTTTTTTACTTTAATGGCATGAAGTCCAGGTTCTGAAGAAGGATGCTTTTAAAAGCGAAAAGTCCCCCATGAGCTCTTTCTCCTTTTCCTGCAGCCTACTAAAGCTGTTTTTCCTCCCTTGGCAAGGAGCTTGGGGCCAGGAGGGAGCAGCTCCCCTCTGAACGCTGCCTGAAGGAGCCAGTGTCTGGACTGCTCAACGGGACATTAGGTTTATTTATTTGTTAATAATCCCCCCACCCCAACTTCAGGAAGCAGGTGCCAAGGCTCCTCAGGGAAAATGGGGTTCCACTCTTTCTTCTGATTGTGACCAAACGTCATGCCATTTCACCTCACGTAGAAGCCCGAAAGGTCCCGACAAGCCAGTGGGTCAGCTCTTCACCAAGCCACTTTTGGTCCTCCAAAGGCCACCCATTTTAGTAACTAAATCATCTGGTAACCTTCCCTAGGGGCTTAAAAAGCAATATTCCCCTCTCTCATTTCAGCCATTAACCTCTCCTACAAGAGACCACCTTTCTCAGAATTCCCTTCTAGGCAGGCAGCACCCTACATCGCATGCACCTGCCAACACAGCCCAGGCAAGCAGAGCGCAAGGCTCCAATCCCTTTAGCCCCTCTCCCCTCCGGCTCGCGAGCCCCCAGCCCCCACAGACTCAACAGGGATGACATTTACTTTCCAAAGTTACAGATTAAACGAGTACACTCTCCGCCTAACTCCAAGTTATTTCTCAGCTGAGTGAGACAGCCATTTGGGTCAGCCCTCCCTGGACAAAAGAAAGGAATACAAATGTTCCGGGCCCTTTGGCAGAGCTCATAAACGTCTGCAAACCTAGGAGCCAGAAGTGCCCTCCCCCAAGGTAGGCAAGGAAGGCCTGCAGGGAACATGTACCTTGGAAATAAGTTCATCATGATTGGCCAAGTGGGCTCTGCAGTGAATGCAGCTGTAGGTCCGGTGGCAAGAGGGCAGATATGCCTGGAAAGTCTTGGATCTTGTCATCTTCACCATTGGCGCTGCTGAGTGTGGGGTGAACTCTGGGGCGGCCCACGAGGCACTCCCACAGGATGGGTCGCACGGGAAACACCGGAAGACACAGGTAAAGGCCGTGGTTTGGCAGGGGGTGGGTGTGGGGCAGGCTCCACACACTGGTGATGTCTTCAGAGGAAGGACCCTCAAGCAGAGGTCTAGGGCTGGTTCTCAGCAGCCTGCAGTGCCAAGATAAGGAATATCATTAGCTGATGGGGCTGGGCTTCCTGCAAAGCCAGTACAGTAGAGTCCAACTGCCACCTGAGAGAGGGCAACATTTACAGGATAAAATGACCCCCCTCCTCTGTTCTTACACTGTGCCGAGATGCCCCGTGAATAAGAAAGAAACCAATGGAGATCCCAACATTGCTGCAATTCTAGAGTCGGAGGTTCAGTATCAACTCAGGGCTCTCAGGAGTTACCCTACCAACATCTAGCAAACCGGCATGATCAACATTCCTAGGGAGCCCTAGAAAAGGCCAGGCTTAAAGATATGCTACCTCCAACCCCAGGGAGAGGACTCCTAAGGATCTCCTGATCCAACCAAGATAAATGGCTTAAAAAGTTTAGTCTCTAGAGATTTGCTACATCAACAGCCACAAGTGGATTTCTCACCCATTTCCAGATGCCAGGAGTCCTCCAGCACTTGCAACCACCATCTGAAGAGGCAACAAACCCCACACCACCTTTTGCTTATGAACCAAGCATGGGATACAAAGGATCAAGTTCCCAACCAGCAGGATCCCTCGCGGCTAGCCAGTACTTCTAGGAGAAGTGATTCTGTTTGTAATACCTTGCCCAGAAGTAGATGCTCAGCACATTTTTTTAAAGCAAGTAAATTAATGAAACTAATGGCATAATCAGGATCCTGCATCTAAAATTCACAACGACAGTGAATCTGACCAGAATTTCTCTTCAACTCTCAAATTTTCCATTACTCATCCCACAGTACCAAGCATTTTTCCTTCCACAGCCTCAGCTTTTTTATTCTAATGGGAAAGAAGGACACTGAGATAGAGGGGTGGCTCCTAGGGCCACCTAGGGTATGTCCGAGTAAAGGTCTGAGGACAAAACCCCGAGGTCTGAGGTCCACTCCGTTTCTCTGTGGCTCACATACCTGAGGCTCCTGGACCTACCTATTCCCTGGGCTCCACTAACGGGGGCGGTGTTCTCACTTGTCTACCTCCCAGGAGAGCCAGAGCGTTGATTAACGCCTGCGTCATGCTTTGAGGATAAAATTATTTAGAGAGACAGGGGAGGAAGACAAACAAAATCAGATCTTCCTTGCTGGATTATGCCTGGGATCCATCTGGATGTTTGGAGAAAGCCCACAGATCATAGTCCTTTTTTTCCTCTGAACCTCACTGGAACCGAATCTTCAGCAGGGAAGCTGCCCTCTTCCCCGACATCCTTCCCACCGTAATGTCACTGAAGGCCACTATACCCCTGGGCCTCCGCAGAACTTCCTGAGTGGCCAACACCACTGGCCAGCACTAGGCTGCAGGACAGCAGGGGTCACTATCCTTTACCCTGCATGTCCCTTGAGGAGCGGAGCCAAGCAAGCTCCACATCCAGGGTGACCAATTACACAAGATGTCCAACTGTTGAAGGGATTCAGACCTACAGGGGCCCAGGCATAACGTCTCCCCTGCTCGGTCTCCCACCGCTAATTTTAAACTGAACATCACAGAAATACTTCAAGAATATGGGGGTGAGAATTAACCTCCCCAGCTTTGCCTCGGAGGTAGGCCTGGCCATAACAAGAGATAACATGACCCCTTGGATCAGAACCCCTGCGTCTCACCCAGGCATAGTGGAAGTGGAAGTGGAAGTGGAAGTGGAAGGTGAGTGGTCAAAACGAAAGCCCATGGTAGACCAATGTTGTTGGGTGTTGAAGTGGAAGAGGTGGTAGAAAGAGCTAAATACCCCACTTGGGGTTTCCTGAAATATCCTTGAACCTTCCAATACTCCTGTTCCACTCTCAGGAAGGACAGTATTTCCAGGAAAGGAAGGGGTGATAGGTCAGGGGGTAAGGAACAGGAAAGACAGAGGCAGGGGAAACGAGCAGGAGGCTTGCCCCAGGCCAGCCACTTCTGAAGTCCACAGCCTCAGCTGTCCGGTGGGGAGCTGGAGGGGCACTGGCCCCATTCGCCTTATACAAACGCTGAAGGAAGGAAAGGAAACAATGAGCCCTGGCTGCCAGTCTGGGTTTATAGAGCAGCCACAGAGTCTGTTTTCTTACACATGCTGACGGCTTCTAAATTATGCCTTTCCCCAGAGTAGAATTATTTCTTTTCTCACTTCTCTTCTGTAGGAAACCCAAAAAAAGTTCACCGGCAGGGGTTTCTGCGGGTTTATGCTCAGCTTCAAATGTGAATCTCAAAACTTATTCATAGCTACCTTTGGAGAAATCAGCATTCATAGTCTGCATTAAATGTGAGTATGTCACATACAAACACATTCATTGCACACCACGGCTCAGAACTTAAAAAGAGACCATGCAAGCAACATCCCAGGCTGCCTGGTGTTGGAAAAGCCCCAGAGAGCCTAGGCTGCAGGCCTTGGACTTTGCCCTATGGTCATTCTGGTCCTCTTACTCTTTGCTAGGGATTGACAGGCACCCACAGAAGTGACTCCTTACCCAAGAAGGAAGAAAAGAAAAAGTGGCTTGCTGAAGTATGAATCTTGTCCCACTGGTACAGGGCAATCAAGAAGGAATGAGAGGGCTTCCCTGGTGGCGCAGTGGTTGAGAGTCCGCCTGCCGATGCAGGGGACATGGGTTCGTGCCCCGGTCCGGGAAGATGCCACATGCCGCGGAGCGGCTGGGCCCGTGAGCCATGGCCGCTGAGCCTGTGCGTCCGGAGCCTGTGCTCTGCAACGGGAGGGGCCACAACAGTGAGAGGCCCGCGTACCGCAAAAAAAAAAAAGAAGGAATGAGAGAAGGAAAGTGGAAAGCAAAGTGAAGGAGAATCAAGAGGGGGTCCTCGTGCCTGAGAACAAAGGAGAGAACGGGCTGAGTGAGAAAAAACGTGAGAGCTAGGGGCCAAAAAATAATTACTGTCTTCTTCCCTCGTAAGGGAAAATATTAAAAGCTGCTTTAAAAAGAAGTCTGTTTTTAAAAAGGAAGTAAAAAAGAAGTCAGTTTTTAGGAAGGAAGATGAAACAGATGTTTGTTTGGGTTTTTTTTATGGAAGAAATTAAGGGTATGGGGCTGTAGAACTCACCACATTTTAATTTTTGGACTCTGGTACCTGTTAATGGGGCCACAGGCTCCATGGGGCTTCATGAGTCCAACCCGCTGAACATATTGTGGAGTCTAAACTGATTTCCAACAATAATCAAATGAGTTCGCTTTTTTAAAGCCTCAGGGCACGTGTACAAATTAAACACCATTTTAAATGAAGTAATAATCCATCACAGTGGAAATTAAAGGAAGATTTGCTACCACCTCCAGCTGGCTCCCGCTGGGCAGCATGGAAAGCAAAGATGTGAACTATTATGATTAAAAACAAAGACCTTAGGTACACCACTCTGAGAGCCAAACGCATAGGGAGCACACAGCAAACCTGGCCGTCCCACCTCACGGACTGGCCTTTTCCACAAGGAGCCACAATTTCAGGTGGAACACAAAACAGAACCTTCTGAGTGTCCCCAGGATGGAGGGGTAGGAGGTACAAATTCCTCAGATAAGTCAGGAAGGAACTGGAAAAATGATGTGGGAACAAGATTGTACCGCCACACACAGAGCCACAGAAACCGAGGAGGCAGAACTTGCCAGGGGAAGTGACACCTCCAGCCACAGGACAGGACCACCCCTAGATGTGCCTCAGCGTTGCTGTTTTTGTGGGGTGTATTGGAGGAGGGTAGGTAAAGACTGTCTGGAAAAGAAGTGGGCTCTGGAATCAGAAGCCAGCTCTACTCCGTTCTAAATGAGTGACTTTGGCAAGTTATTCAACCACTCTGACCCTCAGCTTCCCCAATTCTAAGAAGACCAACATACACAGGGTTATGAGGATTAAATGAGACTGAAGTAAGTACATACAGAGTGCTGGCACACAAAACACACCAAAACTGTAGCTATTATTATTTTTAGTGGTTAATGAATTTTTAAAAATATATGTTGCTACTTTAAAAGAGAAGAAAAAGAAAAAGGAGGCCGAAGAGTTCAGAGACATACATAGTTTTCCTGCCACTTCCATTAGGACTCTCTAGCTTGTCTTCAAGCAAGGTAGATGGTACTACTGGGATGACGTTTCTCTAAACCTTGAATTCTCTTCTCAAGGTAAGACAAGGTGATGATGACACTGGAGGAACCATAGGAGTATCCCCCTAAGAGGCGGTTTCCCCAGTGGCCATGCTCCCAAAGGCCCTAAAAGCACTGCCAGGAACACAGCATCTCTGATTCACACAGCCCTGGCAGGCCCCTGAGCCTCCTTTCCCCCTAAATCCACCCTCTGCATTTCAGCCAGTGTTATGCATTTAAAAAGCAGATCTCACAAACAATAAATGCTGGAGAGGGTGTGGAGAAAAGGGAAGCCTCATACACCATTGGTGGGAATGTAAATTGATACAGCCACTATGGAGAACAGTATGGAGGTTCCTTAAAAAACTAAAAGTAGAATTACCATATGACCCAGTAATCCCACTACTGGGAATATACACTGAGAAAACCATAATTCAAAAAGAGTCGTGTACCACAATGTTCATTGCAGCTCTATTACAATAGCCAGGACATGGAAGCAACCTAAGTGTCCATCAACAGATGAATGGATAAAGAAGATGTGGCACATATATACAATGGATTATTACTCAGCCATAAAAAGAAATGAAATTGAGTTATTTGTAGTGAGGTGGATGCCCTAGAGTCTGTCATACAGAGTGAAGTAAGTCAGAAAGAGAAAAACAAATACAGTATGCTAACACGTATATATGGAATCTAAAAAAAAAGGAAAAAAAAATGGTTGTGAAGAACCTAGGGGCAGGACAGGAATAAAGACGCAGACTGCACAGCACAGGGAGATCAGCTTGGTGTTTTGTGACCACCTAGAGGGGTGGGATAGGGAGGGTGGGAGGGAGATGCGAGAGGGAGGAGTTAGGGGGATATATGTATATGTATAGCTGATTCACTTTGTTATAAAGCAGAAACTAACACACCATTGTAAAGCAATTATACTCCAATAAAAACGTTAAAAAGAAAGAAAGAAAGAACGAACTAAAGGAGGAAGAAAAGAAAAAAAAAAAGCAGATCTCACCATGTCATCACTTTCATGTCCTTCAGAAAGGCAATACGGACAGTGGGTAAGCAGATGGGTTCTGGATATTTAACTAAAGAAAACAAAAACACGAATTCAAAAAGATCTATGTACCTCTATGTTCATTGCAACACTATTTACAATAGCCAAGACATGGAAGCAATGTAAGTGTCCATCGATAGATGAATAGGAATGTGGTGTATGTGTGTGTGTATATATATATATATATATATATATATATATATATAAAATGGAATATTACTCAGCCATAGAAACAAATGAAATCTTGCCATCTGCAGCTACACGGTTGGACCTGGAGGGTATTGTGCAAGGTAAAATAAGTCAGAGAAAAACAAATACCATATGACTTCACTTACATGTCTAAAATACAAAGCAAATAAACCAACATAATAAAACAGAGTGATAGATACAGAGAACAAACTGGTGGTTGCCAGAGAGGAGAGGAGTGGGGGGACAAATGAAATAGGCGAGGTACAAACTTCCAGCTATAAAATAAACGTCATGAGGATGAAATGTGCACACGGGGAATATAGCCAACAATACCGTAATTACTTTGTGTGGTGACGGATGATGACGGAGGGTAACAGGTCTATTGTGGTGATCATTTCATAATGTATAAACACATTGAATCACTATGTTGTACACAGAAAATGAATATAATATTGTACGTTAATTATAACTCAATTTTTTAAAAAAGACGGGTTCTGAAATCAGACTCCGAGGGTTTCAAATCTCAGTTCTGTAATTTTCTAGCCGTGTGACCTTGAACAACTTACTTAACCTCTCTGGACCTTGCTCTCCTCATCAAAACCTAGGAACACTAATATTGACCTCATAAGGCTCTTGTGAGAATTAACTAAGCTAATACACATACAGTACTCAGCGTATGCGCCTGGCATGTAGTAAGCACACAATAAACTCCAAGTGTGTACTACTGCTGACAACCATCGACATCCATGAATGGCATCCATGAGAGACTCGTCTCTCATACTCTGTATACTCCATCTTTTGAACTGATATTTAAGGGTCTATTGTGTGTCAGGAACAGTCTCCTAAGTGTTCAGATTTGCCAACCAAACTCTCTGTAGTTCCCCCAAATACACCACACCTGCATTTCACCCTTCCGTGGTTTTGTTGATGCCATTCCCTCCATCTGACATATCCTTCCCACCTCCTCATCAGGCCCTTACTTGTCCATTAAGGCTCAGCTCAAATATCCCCTCAGCATTGGACGCATTGACCCATCCTCTGTGCTCACCTCCATCTTAACATTTACCCTATTGAAACTGAAATGATTCTCTTCTGCCTCTGTATCCTCTGCTAGAGGTAAGTGCCAAGAGTAGGGACCACATTTTAGTTGTTTCTGTACCGCCTGAACTCGGCAGCACAGAGCACACAGTAGCGGCCACTGTTGGACTGAACTACCCCTGCTTCCCCTAGGCTGCTGACTAGACCAGCCTGCTCACCCATGTGGGTAGCACAAACGATTGAGGCTCCTCCCTTCCCCCTGCCAGTAACGAAGCAGGACGCAGAATGGCTCTGGCCCCATGGAACCCTATTCTCCCCGATAGCCCCCACTCAGATCCTGTGCTGAGATGCCCGTAACTACAGTTCTTCTAGGCAACAGAAGGTTTTTTAAGTCCTGGATGTTAATCAAAGGCCTGTCATTGGCATCCATGCCCATTTTTCACACTCACAGGGTCTAGGTTAAAATATACTATAGTAAATATTTATATATATAGATACACATACATACACATATATATATCTGTTGAGGTAACGGCTTAACCATTTCCCAGCTTTCTCCATCTCTTACTTATCGTAGGAACTCTTAGAAAGCCTGAAGAGGACTTTATGCTGACTTTAAGGACAGGAGGGGAGGAGCATGACTGAGTAGTCTGTTCCAGGAGCAAAGAGAGAAGCCCTGATTGGAGGCTATAAATAGGTGGCAGTGGAAGGGGGATAGGTAAGCCATTTCTGGGACTGGAGACAGAAAAGAACAAAGAGACAGAATGGCTGTGGAAAGCCCCTATCCCAAGAGGGTAGTCCTCCTTCCCCATTCCTCATCTCACCAGAATCCTGGACTCAGACCAGGGAGCACAGAGACCCAGTTTCCCTGGGCTGCCACAAAGGGAAGTGGGTGGTGGTGTCGTCCACTGGTGAGGAGGACAGGATTAGAGACAGATGGACTTGGATTCCGTTTTGGTTCTTCTCACGAGCTGCATCACCACTGGGCAAGTTGCCTGAAAGGGAGTAACAGTGCCTACTTCACGGAGGAGACAAAAGCATCAAATGACATAAGGCAAGTGAAGCATTCCGCATAGCACCTGGCACATCATTAGTACTCAATA